TTTGCACTATATGCCAACAGGGGTTCAAATCCTACATTGATATTGACATTTGAATTCAGTTAAAAAGTCTGAAATAAAGAGCTGATCTGATAGTAACCATTACTAAATGACCACTGTCGACTGTTGGAGAAACCTAATGTCCTTTAGGGGAGGAACTACCATTCTTACTGGATCTGGCCTACATGTTACTTCAGTCCCACGGCCATATGGCTGACACCTAATTGACATCTGAGTGATTAGGGATGGGCAATAAATGCTGCTGTAGCCAGCGACCTCCACATCCCTATGAATGAATTTAAAAATGCCAGAGGCAGTATGGTGACAATAGTGTTGGTGCAGCCTTGCTAATTTTGTGTCAGTTTCCCTCTGACATACCTGCCTGCTGCTCCTGTATCAGCTTGTTCATTTCTACTTAGTTATCTATGGATACAATATGGGGTCATCTTTTGCCTGGTTTCCCACTGTCTTCCAAGTGTCAATGACCCGGGGCGTCTCTTCCCCAACCAGCTACATAGATGTGGCAGTGATGTGCTCATCAGCAAGTGCTCCCACCTGTCATCTTGCTAAAGTATCTGTATCTGAGTTGGTGGAGGGTGCAGGAGGCAGCTTTGCCAGTGCATGCTGTGAGGGTTCTTTGGATTCTTTTTCAGAGATGGAGGAGATGTTTCGCAGGTCCACCCTCTTGGCTCTTGATGGGCTACCAAGCCATCATAATGTACTTGCTGCTGCTGACCCCCTCAGCCCTACTGAAAACACACTCAGTGATGAGGTAAAACCAGTCCTACTGATCATTTCTTACATTTGATTTTCTTTAGCAAGCCAAAGAACTCTTGTGATAAATTTTTGTAGTTTATTCTCGGTACTGTGGATTGGAGACCAGGAGCAGATATCAGCATCTGAGTCATTGTGCTTCTTATTTTACAGCAACTCATCTTCCTGGGGAAATGAGGCATTTCAAATGCTAAACCAAATGACTACAAAGTGAAAAATGTGCAAACACAATGTGTTGAGTTCTCATTTCACCAATCCATGCTCCTGTTGAAACAAACAGATAAGCCATGAGCTTAATAAATAACGGAGCAGCCTCAAGAAGTCAAATGGTTTCCTTCTGCCCCTAAGTCACATTTTCATATGTTTGCAAATGTCTTTGCCAACAGCAAAATCTCTGAAGGGTTGCCCAGTGGCTAACTTTAGGAAGGATCTGGTGTTCAAGGTAACTATGCAATATCTAAAAAATTTTCAAAAAATGACCCCTCATTACCTTTTGGATCTCATCTGCATTTCTTTCTCTGGAATCATCCTCTCCTTTGGTTTAAATAGATTGTCTAAAAAGGTCAATAAAGAAATATATGCATGAGAAAATACTTTATATATCAAAATATACAAATTATAGTTATCAAATTAGAAAGCTCAAATTGAAAAAAGGAGTAGTATAATTTCAATCTGCTAGGCAAACAGAAATTTAAAAACGTGGAAAATAGGAGCAGGTGTAGGCCATTCGGCCCTTTGAACCCCCTCCACCATTCATTATGATCCTGGCTGATCATTCAACTCGATAGGCAAATGATAAGTGATTGAAGATACCAGGATCTGTGTCATGCAATGACAACTTCTACTTTTATAGCACCTCTAATATAACAACAATTTATCTTCATATAGCACAGGCCCATTATGGAACAAAATATGTCACAGTCCAAGACGGAACGTTAGATCAGATGACCAAAACCAGAGGGACATTTGATGTTGCTTCAAGAGGAAATAAAAGCAAATTATATAAATGAAGAGATGCACAGAGGGAATCCCAGAGTTTAAGGCCTAGGTAACTAAAGGCATAGGTAACAATGGTGGGGTAGTTAAAGTTGGGAATTGTCAAGAGGTCGGAATTATATGGGTACAGACATCTTGAAATGTTTTAGGAAAGTAGGAGGTTATAGAGATGAAATGGGTGTGGGGATTGGCAGGGTTACAGAGGGATTTGAAAACAAGGATAAGAATTTTAAAATCAAATTGTTTCCTCTCCAGTTGCTCCAGGATGCAATGCAGGTTAGTGAGCACAGGGTGAGAGGAGTGCTGAGTTAGGACATGGCAAAGTTTCGGATGACCTCGAGTGGATGAACGGCAGAATATGAGATGCTAGATATTGGTATAGTCAAGTCTGGAGGTAATAAAGGCAAGAATGAGGGTTCCAGTGGCAGGTTTGAGGAATGAAAGTCCTACTCCTCCTATTATTCCTTATAACATCAGACAGGAGTGAAATCAGGTGATGTTATGGAGTTAGGAATAGGTGATCTTCGTGATATGATGAATTTATAGTCAAAAGCTTAATCTTGTGTCCGATACAAGACTAAGAATGCAAATAATTTGTTTAGTCTCAGACTCTTGCCAGGAAGAGGGATAGCGTTGGTAAACTGGCGAATGTTGGATATGGCATTGAAAACAATGGTTTCAGTCTTCCCGATATTCAGCTACAAAAGTTTCAAGGTGTGATGATCATAAGCATGATTAAGGGGCAAAATAACAAAGATGAGGGTTCTAGGGAGAAAAGTCAAATTAGTATCAAGTTATTGTCCTCAATGATGGAAACAGGAACATAATATACAGGAGAGAAAAGCCAGAGACTAACATATCAGGCTGGGCTATAGGCCGAAGGAAACTGCGGAGGTGGGAGAGGCAATGAAGTTATTTGTAAATGAAGATGCAGATTTTAAATCAGATGCATTAATGGAAGGAACTATCATGCAGATGCCAAGTTACTGACTGAGCACTGCACTGGTGCACTGATAGCCTTAAATACATGTACCAACAGTTTCAGGAACAGCCTCTTCCCTGCTCTTATTAGACTGATGAATGGACTCTTCAGCTTCAAATAATTTTGATCTTGCTAATGTTGATCTTTCTTTGCGTACCTCCTGTGCAGTTGTAACCTGTATGCCTCGCTCTGTCTAAGCGGCCTATGATCCATATGTCCTTGCTATGATTTGCCTGTACTGCTCGCAAAACAAATCTTTTCACTGTACTTAGGTACATGTGACTACAATAAATCAAATCAAATCAAACATTCTGCCAATTGACACCCTTCCACCTGATTAAAACCAAGAATTTGATGGTTTTCCATTTTTACCTTCCCCTTCCTTCTTGCAGATCCACTCACAGCAATGGGTGCTATAGAAGAACAACATTGATGTTAATGAGGATACTGAAGAACAAGCATCCTAGCTGCATAATGTTGGTGTCCCTTAAGTCATCTTTCAAACTGGCCTTTTCAGTGAATCATACAAATTAAATGCTGCAGCCAAGGTCGCACACCCTAGGAGCATTCTCCTGTGATGCAACCAGAAGTGCCTCATGTGAGGAGATAGCTGTCCTGAGACAAGCATCATCTTCATCCTCCAGATCTTTTATAAAACATGAGAAGCCAAACATATCCTCTTCATGGCACCTGAATGAAGACAAGATTACATAAAGAACACCATTTCTGCTCTTTGACAACCTATTTTTGATCTGGGAAGGAGCAGCAGGATGTAGCTGTGGAAAGTAAATACTATGCTGGCCAGTCCAACTGAATGTAGCTACTACAGGGAACCTTAATTGGGAAATTGGTGAGTCAGAGAATTCATAATGTTTTGAGGGTTGATTACTTTCTGAAACATAGTCAAGTTTTGCAACTAACATTTACTCAACATTAATTTGTAGCTTCTTTCACAGTGTAAGTCAACGGTATACAAACTGCTTGTTAGTAGCAGCTGTACAGTTAATTAGTGTGATTACTTAGAACCAGTTATCTGGTATGCAGGAGCTGACCTCTTAATATAAATATAGGAAACTGTTGCTAATGCATAAAGTAAGTAGCACAGAGGCAGATTGATGAAGTACAACTTTGACAGAACTCGACACAGTGAGGGAAGATATGCTCTTCTGGCTTCTTACATGATAAGGAACATTCTGAGAGAGGAAGTGAGAGACAACAAGACGCGAGGCATTTGATAGCTGAGTAGACAGTCGATTTTTTAAAAAAATTCTTTCACAGGACATGGGCATCACTGATCAGGCCAGCATTTATTACTCATCCTTAATTGCCCAAAGGGCAGTTAAACGTCAACCACATTGCTGTAGATCTGGAGTCACACATAGGCAGTTTCCTTCCCTAGAGGACATTAGTGAACCAGATCTGATTCTGACAATCAGTTCATGTTCAGCATTAGACTCCTAATTCCAGATGCTTATTGAATTCAAAATCCACCAACAACTTGGATTTGAACCTGGTCCCCAGAACATTACTAGAGTCTCTGGACTAATAGTCTTGTAATAATACCACTAGGCCATCACCTCCCTGATTCACGAGTATTATATTTTCTTCCTCTAGACAGAGCAGTGTTTTAACATAGCACCAGGAAGGTACAAGTAATATAGTCAATTTATGGATTAACTAGTTAAATTACTTAATATAACTACAAGTAATTGTTGAACAAAACTTCAAACTTGAAACACTAATTAAATACCCAAAATACAATAGAGATAACACTGTAGCTGTAGCACGTGGAGAACTTTGTTTGGCTCAGAGCTGATGAGCTGAAGCCTGTGCTTCAGACACTGCAATGCATCAGGGAGATGGAAAATTACCTCATCACTTTGTTTCAAGAGGCAGTCACACCAACTGAATTAGTTATTTCAGATTTAATCAGTGATAATAGATAGAAATGGATGGTTCGGACAAAGGCAGGTATGAAGTCCAGAAGGTTGGATTTGAGGAATACCTCTAGCCTATCACCTTTAAGGATTTGAGCTGATGGCCTAGTTGGATTTGAGTCCTTGTATTTGCCAACAGATGCAATGTTCTTGCAGCCTATGGGAACGGAAACATGGACTGTGGGAAGACTGAGCAAACCTGATCACAGTAACATGGTATAAGGGCCACTGAAGGTGGAGTGAAAAGGTATACAGTATTAGGAGGGAACCTTAATTGGGAAATTGGTGACTGAGAGAATTTATAATGTTTTGAGGGTTGATTACTTTCTGAAACATAGTCAAGTTTTGCAACTATCATTTACTCAACCTTAACTTGTAGCTTCTTTCAAAGTGTAAGTCAACGGTATACAAACTGCTTGTAGGGAAATTGATGCTGTTATCTGCAATTGAGAATGACAATCCCAAAAGTGTTGTTTTCTGTCCTGTGCCAGTGTTCAGGATATCTCGTTGTGGCTGGAGAGGAATTTGGAGAGGGAAGAGAAGGATCCAGTTGTCATGGTTACTAACAACATAGGTAAGACAGAGAAAGATGTTCTGCTGAGGGAGTTTAAATAGCTAGGATGTGAATTACTAAGCAGAATCACAAAGTTAATGATCTCTAGATTACTACATTAGCCATGAACAAATTGGCATTGTGTAAATAAGTTCAGAGTGTTGAATACCTTGCTAAGTAATGGGAGAAATGGGGTTCAATTCATAGGGCCAATCTAGCACCAGTGTCAGGGAAAAAGTGAACTGCACTTGAACTGCCATGTGATCAAAGTCTTGATGAATTAAATAAAGCTGTCAAGATCGCTTTAAATTAAATAATGTGTGGGGATGGGGAGGGAATTCAACCAGTGGAAGTGACAAGGATTTAGTACACAGAAGCAATATGGGTAAAGATAACCAGGATGTGACAGTAATGTTTAGAAGTACAAACATAACAGTACATCAGCAAGTGAGGTTACAGTAAATAAAAATGTAAATATGTAGGATCACCAGCTGCCGCCCCATAACTGCCACCAGTTCACACAGGGAGACATGACAGGCTGGGTGCTGGGATGAGGTGAAGCGCTTAAGTCAATTAAAGTTCATAGTATCAGAAGCAAATAGCCCAAGAGTTTCCATGCTGGAAAAATAGTCAACGCTTTCAGTACCACTTATATGCTGTTGATGTTAAAGAAATTTCCCCTCAAATGCTCTGGATTGACTTTGTCAGATCTATCAACAAATAGCAATATGGATCAAATAACATTAAATAGTTCTTGTGTTGGGTGAATAGATGGATTGCGAGGCAAAATTTCTTGGTGACAATGATGACATCAAAGCCAGAGTGTCTTGAGTAAGTCAACGTGGTTACTCAAGTTTGTGTGCCACTACTGAAGTTTCCCTGATTATCCAGCTAGAATCATGGATAGATTGGCTATCCATTGTGAATCAGTCTGTCACTGGTGACAAAGAAGAAGGGATTATTAAATGAGGATATCCCCTGTTGATTATTTTACATAATTTGATAGGTTATAGAGATATATGTAACTAATGGTATCTCACTATCCCAAGTGAATAAAAGCTGCACAAAGGCAAACAGTAGCAGAAT